TTTTTTTTTTTTGCCTTCCTTTTTTCTCTTAATTTATTCTACTGCCGAAAAATTAACATTAAGTAAAGTTCAGGAATCAATCTTTATTTTGGCTTTTCAAACAAACAAACAAATAAATAGAAGAAAAAAAAATATTTCCTACTTTGTGCGATAAGGTAAAGAGAATTAGAAAGAATTGCGCAGCCAAACTGTGGCGGTTTCAAATCAATTTTACGTATTCTCGGTTGGTCTTTTGAACCAAAACTTATACGGGAAAACTTGACAATTATAAACATTATTTGATCATCAAGTAGTGGTGTTAACATCATCAGTAGTGAAAATTAGTTTCATTAATTTCTCTTCTTCCTTTTATCCGCTTGAATTGAAGCAACGACCGTTGCAAAACTATTCCTGTATCTGCGAACTGGAGATTCATACAGAAATAAGAGCACTGAATAAACAAAAGAACACGTAACAGCAAAATGTTTTATATTTAAGAAGGGATTTTTGACCTTTAAAAAAGTGTGAAAGATGAAACACTCAATATTTTTAACAAACATTCAAGTTATCTAAATGAACACTCAAGAAAAGCAGATATTTTTAGTTGCATAGTCAACAGTTAATATTCAAGTACTGTTGTAAATCAGATTGACTAAACTGAAACATTGTTGCCTGTTTGATTGCAAGTTGTCATTTGATTAACAGCCGAACTTTTAGACACCTAGTAGAAACAGGTGAGTTTGATGCATCTTCGCACGACCTGTGACCAAGTTGGTATATGGCATTTTTATAGTTTCAGTGCTGTCTATAAGAAAAATCTCGCCGGTCTCTACCTCTGAATTTCCAAAAATACTAAGCCAACAAAAGTTATTTTTAATTTTTGACTGACACTAAAGAGGAAATCGAAAAATAAAAGATTTTTTCAAGATCTTCTTGATAAGCTTTCAAACAACTTTTAGCAGTCACTCAGTATCCTTTGTAAACCATTGCTGAAAAAGATTTCTGCATATTTCAAATCTTATCCCTCTTTTAAACTCGTGGCATGTCTAAGAAAATTGAAATCTTTTAAACATATAATTATTACTGCAGAATAAACTTAAAAGAACTTACCACAGTTCAGTAAATGTCTATCAATTTTATAGTTACGAACTGTACAGGTCGAACTTTGATGTGAATACAGATTTAAGTGAAAACAGTAGTCATTGGTGTTCATGTTTATGCTAATATTTCGTTGTATTCATCATTATGCCTTACATTTGAATATACTTTTAAAGCAAAAGAACTG